TATGAATTTCTAAAGTCCCACCCCCTCTCATTACTTCTCAGTATATTCAGCTGCTGCCTGCCACACGGTCTTTCCCCAGCGAAGTGATCCACCTGCTGCTGGATCCTGTGACTGCTGTCTCCTCCTCTGGAGTCTCTCCTTAGCAGTACCCACTCCAGAGAGGATAGCGTTAGCCAGCTGGTCTTTCATGTTGTTTGAGTTCTTGCTGGTCGCTACCGAGGCTCCTGAGAGCTGGTTCATGAGGTTACGTTTTCCTTTGTACTCGAAACAAGCAACACACAAATCAAGAACATTGAGGAAGAGATTGAGCCTGGGGAGAGAGAGAGAGAGAGAGAGAAAATAAAAATATAATAATAATAATAATTCTCTTCAAAATGTCCATATCAATTTTACTCTCTAATGTATGTTCCTTATTTTAGTTTTTATAAGGGAATGCTTCCATGTGGGCTACCCGCCATCCCATTGTTCCAGCTTCTGTGGATGGTGTCATTTAAGTGGACTGTTTTGTAACTGTATATTAATATATGGTGTAGGCTTTTGTTTTTTCTGTTGTGTAATGCTGTGGTATAATAATAATAATAATAATAATAATGGGTTTCTCCCTCTTTTCCCACATCTCTCTTTCTCTCTCATAATAATAGTAATATACTATGTCCCAACTGAGAATGGACCGGAAGTGGAAGCAGCTGAATTGGAATTTGAAAAATGTAGCTACGTCATTAATGACGTTTTATAATGATATTCATAGAGACATGGCCGATATTTCGGCTGTGTTGTTTCACTCTTAAAATAGTCTTGTTTTTCCTGATAAGCAGTACAATCATAGATAATAGAGACTACGTATACGGGATAGGAAACAGGGAAACACTCCGCGTCTTATTATTGTAATAGTTATAAATAGTTATTAAAAATTTAACATGGTTGATACTGTAAAGTGCTGCGCAATTAGAAACAAAAATAGCCATAATTAAAAAAATAGAAACAAATAATAGCAACAGCTATCATTGAAGCAATATATCAATATTATCTTTAAACAACAGTGAAATCTTTATTTCAAACAAGCCCTTCTTTGAAGCAGGAGAGGGAGACAAAAATGTATGAGGTTGCGAGTGATTTTGTCTCAAAAGGAGGAGAATAAAGCTTGCATGGATCTGATTACATAGCTTAAGCAACGGCCATAACCATTTAGGTTGTAACAGTATCAATTTTGAAGTAAGTCAAATGAACCTGTGTCCTAGAGAGGGAGACAAGGCAAAAATGAGTAGAAATTTTTGTTTATAGCGAAGCTATTGTATAGTCAACGCAATAGAAAGCTTATTTTACAACAGTAAGTGATGAAATACAATACTTACCACATGATGCAACGTAAAAATGTCCCTATAATCACCCAGATTTTGTAGAAAAGACAAAAACTGACTGATAGTAGGCCAACATGGCGGCGGACAAGGACTGTACGGTCCGATTATTAGTGGTGGGCGATATATCGATATTTTATCGATACAAACGATATTTTACGGTATCGATTCGTATCGGTATCGAAATTTTGAAGGAATCTGGATCTATACATTGGCCACGCCCATTTATTGTGGTTAAATAATATTAATAATGAAAATTTTAATAAGTTAATGACGTAATACACACACGTGGATACACGTGCATGAAAACATCGATGAAAACAGTCAATAATAAGGGGTGTGACTCCATAGGTGT